GGTTTCGGCTAGCTACTTGGACTTGCCATATACTCTTGCCAGCTACCATCTCTCGCCGCCAAAAGTACATTTTTTTGACATTTTCTGAATTTTTCGGTTTTCTAATTGCAGAGCGGAAATATTATTTTAAGATTATTAAAGAACAGTAAAACCTCGTCCTAAATTGCAATGTTTTATGAAAAATTTGCAGTCGTTTTTTAAGAAAAGGGCGCTTCATTGCTACTGTAAATTCGACATTTGAGGCTCTTTTTAACAGAACATTTTTAAGTTTTCGATAAACGTCATTAGAAGTAATTTTAAGAACATTAACTCACAAATACAATAGTGTTTACAAATTGTTGGAAATGTGCATATCAACGGCGTGATATATCTTTCAAAAAATTTACATTAGAGTAATTAAAAAATACACCGAAATTAACTTATCGTCATTTTAAAAACTGCAATTAACTCTATACGTGCGAAATATTTGAAGAAAACATTTGGATCAGTTTTTGAGAAAATGGCATTTGAGTGTTTCTGAAAATTCGAAAGTTTGATCTAGTTTTCACAGAAAACGGTTGAGTTTTCGAGAAACTTTATGTAACATTATTTAAAGCACATATAGTTATAAATAAAAAAATGTGAACAGATTGCCATTAATATAAATATTAACGAAATGAGAAACAACACAAAAAAAATTTTTGTAATTGTTCAAAAAACAAAATATTATAACAATATGGCGTTTGAGTCATCTCTTTGAGTACATTTAACACTATTCCTACCAAAAGTTTAAAGAAAAAATTGGAGTCGTTTTGAGAAAATCTTGTTTTTGTAATATTTTAAAATTGCACAAGTTGCAGTGCTCAAAATTTTTTAAAAAATGTACATCACCTTAATGAAAGATACAATTATGGAAAACAAATTTTACTTGAAGAAAAAAATCTCTATCTTTAATTTTGTTGTAGGAAGACCCCGAAAACTTTCAAACTTTTGAAATTTTGAAAAACTGAGAGTTAACGGTGAAAATCGGACCTATGCCACATTTTACTCTATTCTTATAAGAAATGTAAAGAAAAAATTAGAGCCATTTTTGAGAAAATTTAGAAAATGTTCCAGGGTCTTCATGTAAAGTACCCTGAAAAACTAATGAATGGTTTTAAAAATCGCAGAGCTTTGACTCAGACCAAATGAACAGAGATTTCTTCAATTTGGAAAAAATCCTTCGCATGGTTTAGGCGTTAGTGTTGTTCCCATACACCAGATAGACGGACTGTTGGACGAAGGGACAGACGGACGGACAGACGGAAGACGGACTTTTTCGGTATCAGAGGACCCCAAAACGTGTATTTCAGTTGAAATCTCGAAATCGATCTTCCGCAGCATTATATAACTTACCCTATACTATGTACTAGTATATTACTTTGTACACGTACGTTTTCGGAAAAGTAAAAATAATGCTTCAAAGTGCTAAGCTGTGTCGGTGTCTTCAAGACTATTAAAATAAAATTTACATTACCATAGTGCCGGGAGTCCGGGCGGGAGCTTAGAGCTTGTTCCGACTGGGGTGGTGCCCTGCTGGTGGGAGATACCTGATTAGACGAAAATCCCGCTAACCGAGGTAAGTTCGGCGACTGATCTCATCATCCAGCGGGGGAAAATCAACGCCATCCCCCGACGAGAAAACACGCACTACTCTTACGGGACTAATTATTATAGCGGTTGAAACGCTCAGAATTATTAATCAATCAATTCATTGATCGTAACTGACATTTTAATTCTGGCGGGATCAAACATGGTGCCTCACTGGCTCTTCCAATGACAGTATGGCGGATCATACTGGCTAACCATATGTAAGCGGCGTTAAGTGATGCTAATCGCTTAAGAATTTCTTTTATTTGCTACAAGCTAATCAGTAAAGCAGACTCTTGCATCGTAACACTTGTATGCAGTTTCAAGTGTTTGGTGTATTTTCAAGAATCTGTCGCATCACTGACCAGAATAACAACTATCGTGAAAACGCCGGGGACATTCAACAATCTTTATTGAGAATTTAAAAGTATTACATTAATAAATCACCATGTGACGTGGAATAATAAGTTTAAATTTGTTTTATTTTCAGTAATTTGCATAATTAAATGTGATTATATGTATAAAAATTCATTTAAAGTTCACACGTTTAACAATAACTAGCTGGACCCTTGCCAACATTTCATTATTTGTAAGTTATCATTATAAAAGAGAATCTCATTTATCAAGATTGGTAGCGTGTGAGAGTAGCAAAAGGTGTGTATACTGCTGAAATAATATAGGAGACGGTTTGTATTATCTGGTTCGCAAGCAACCCGCTAAATATGTTACGCCTCAACACACTTGTACAACTCACACACGGTGTACAACTCACAAACGGAGCGTCCTTCGGACCCTTAAAACCTTCCGTAGACCAGATAAATTTACCAATAACCAGTTCCTTGAAAAGAACACACAAATTATGTTTTCTATAAGTCATCTGCAAAATAGGATTTGTTGAAAAAAGAAACATCTAAACATTCGTGTCACATGCAATCTGCAACACTAGGCAGCATTGTTAAAATCTATTTAGTTAAACATCTACTAAACGAAGCGTTCTAGGATCTTAAAATATGGAATTTTAAGGCGGGTGGTCTTATAGACACGTTCCTCGAACCGTAATCTGTAGAACGAGAGCTTGCACATTCTATTACATTATGATGGTCCGATGCTTCTCGATACTACCCCACGTGTTCAAAAATTTGCAGAAACTGCAACTGTATGTAAAATTAAAGCAAATACGAGACGATTGAATTCCACGGGTATACCTCTCAATTCGGTAATAAAGTTAAATAATATTCCTAAGAGTAGTGTTGTACTTGCCAGATCCTGTGTTTTCGCTAACGTAGCCTTCTTAAAAGTAAAAAAGATCGGATATTTTTGTGACTATCAAGAAAAGCGAAAAGCTGTCAAGCAAGGTTGTCTAATTACTTCAAATGTTGCTTTTACGTAATTGCTGTGAATTGTTCCAAGAAAATCTGTCAATAACACTGAATAATCCTTTATTCGAAATTTGTTTCAAACATCAATTTTTATTGTTTGTTAATTTTATTTGATATTCTATTAGTACATTAGAAGTAATCTTAATAAATTTTTAAGCAAACAAATACGCTTTGTTAACAGATTTCAGTCTTAATATGGAAATGCAAGGATAGAGAAGAGGGTGGATTTTAACATGCGAGAGTTCTGGGACGGGTACGCTAGTATTCTATAATCTAGGAAATACTTTCTTTGAATAGAGCAAAGTAGGCTTTTAAAAACGACTCTGTTTTTTTTTCCATTAATGGAAGTTGCAAAAAAATATCTTTGCAAAAAAATCGTGCGGAAGAAAATAATCACGAAGGTCTCGTAAACTCCATCGTATCAGTTAAGTGTCAACTGTTACTAATGCGAGAAACTATCTACTGTTGTAGCTCAGTCATTTTTTTGGTTCTTATTGCTTCTATGCTACACTTTCAGAGGTGTAGTTATGTTTTCGGGGACCCCTGTACAAAAAACCCAAATGAGGCCTCTCTTTGCCATTACCATCTTCATTAAGGGTCGGCGGGTGTCCTCATTCCGGGTTTTGATTTCGGGAAATCACGGTGCGCATCAACTGGGTTAACACCAGCCTAGCTACGCACTAGCCGTAGTTACGTCTTTGTGTATTTTCTACGCGTTTAGAAGAAATGGCACATGGGGTATATGCCACACGTTATTTCTAATCCATGAAATTTACCACTACATCTTAATTATTAAAAAGTTACTATTTTCGGCCCCTCTACGAATCCTAGACGTTTCTCACATTCCTTCTAAAACATGTGTAAGCAAGTTACTTGTGAGCAGCTTTTGATGATTTCATCAGATATGGCAACCATAATCCAACTAAAGCCAACATTAGAAGTTTAATGAGATGAAACATCAAAGGCTGCTCACCATTTAAATATTTATATTTGAAAATGTGATGTAAACTTGCATCACTACATCTTAGTATAACTATGATGAACATGTAGTAACATTCTGGCATCCAACATTAGATCTTATGATTATTTAAACGGTGATAAAATGTTGGTTAAGACGATGTTAACTGATATACAACTTATGGCAACTGAAAATACTGGTACTGGATACTTTTAGTACACAACTAAATCAGTAATTACTACAGTGTAAACTCTTTCTAATGGAACTCAAGACCGAGTTCTTTCTTACTTTGTAGGGAGTTTTTGTTCTGTTGGGAGAGTGACCAATGTTTTTTAATGCCTTAGGATAAAGGCTACAAACGTCTATGTCATGGGTTTAAGTTCTGATGGAAAGATATTTCCACTTCCTTCCAAACACTAGTGTACAAAGAATTGCCTATCAATTAGGGGCAAATGACACGCATGTAATTTCATTAAACTATGATATTTCCTACTACATATTCATTATCACGAAGGTAATCATCTTCGCCTTCCAAGTGCCCGAGAAGTTTGTAACATTTATTAAGAGACGCCTGATCAGGGAAGACCATTCAAACTCAAGTAATGTTTACCGTTATAGGAAGTTATAGGACACTTTCCATAGAACGATAACTCCCCGCAAAGAAAAGACCGTCCGTCCATTGAATTTCGTTATAAAGAGTTTGTACTGTATTAATTACTGATATAATGGATACTATATCAGTAATTAATATATTAATCATTGGCTGTCCGGGTGATGCAGTTCTAAGCACAGGTGCCAGCGTTTCTATCGCCATTCTGCGACCTTCCTCAGGGCGAAATGCGTTGGCACCTGTGCCTAGGACACGGCGTCTCACGGACAGCCAAGAAGCTGCTGGCTCCGGCCGCGGACGCCTTCGCTCTGATGAAGTTTTCTAATAAAAGTATCCAATTCTTGTATTTGCAGTTTCCATAAGTTCAACACTACGTATTTTAACACCCTGTACACCCAAACTTGACCAGTCCGCGTAGAGAGTAGGGGGGGGGGTGCGTGCTCACCTGGGTACTTGACGTAGGAGTCGTAGAAGCGGTCCATGGCGCGGCGCACCTCGGAGGGCGCGTGGAAGGGCTTGCGCTCGGGCGCCAGCAGCGCCATCTGCAGGTCGCGGTGGCGCGACTCGGCGTCCAGGCGCAGCCGCTGCTGCTGCACGTTGAAGTCGGCGGCGCTGGCGTCGGCCGCGCGCGCGAACGACGCGCCGTACCGGAACTGCATCCCCGGGATGTACCCTGCGCAGGGCCCCATTTAGGTACCACCTCCAGGGACCCTCCAATCGTCTTGCCCCCCCCCCCGGAAAAAATTATCAAATATTTAAAGAAATATTTTTTTAAAATTCAAACTGTTTAATATTACAGTAGTACTTGATTAGCAATTATTTTACAGATACAAAATATTTTGTGCCTTTTTTAAAAATATTTTATGAATTTTTCCCTGAGGACGGGGCCCTCCATGGAAGGGGCCCCCTAAGCAACTTGCTGCTTGTAGATAAATGTGGCTCAGATCCTACGGCACCTCCAGGATGACGATATTACGTGATATTCTGTCGTCTCTGGCGGTGTAGAAGCTGGCGTCTAAAACGTCTGTTCGTGGGTTCGATCCCGCTTGGAAGACAGTGGTTTTTCGAAGGGTGTGAAATTCTCCGTGAGCCCTTAACGCTTGTGGAATATTAAGGAACGCTGGCACATATCTGGCGAAATTAAATCCCTCCGGTAATATTCCGCCTTGACGAAATCACGCGTTCTATTTTAAAATCACCACTCGTAGACACGATGGAAGTCCGAGATTTGGAGGAGATTTGGAGGAGATTTGGAGGAGAAAGTGAGAGTCTCAGCTAGACGTTTCAAGGCGGGTGCTTGAAAGATCCTTTAGGGCCCCGCTGAGAACAGGCTTCAAAGGAAGCCTGGGTCGTAAATCCGGGCGAAACACGGCCAACGGATGGTTTTCCGCAAAAGACCTTAACGTAAAATAATAAATACAGAATATTCTACTAAGATGGTGGATGGAATCGAGTAAACTACTACGCTTAAAAAAACGATCGATCTCTAGACTAAAGGGTCAAATTGGGAAGATCGAAACGATATCAATAAATTGGCGGAGGTTGTGTGGCTTTATATTTGGAGGTCAGCTAGACAATGAACGGAAAGATAAATCGTAGTATTTAAAATAGTACAGAAAGATTTTTCGAATGCATTCCGGCGGTCATCTGCACTGCCAACAGAAACTACCCCCCGCCATAGATTGCGCTGAATGTGACCACATTGCGACCGAAAACGCTCAATAAACTCATATGAGGCTATTGAAGATGAAATCATGCACAACATCCTCACAAAAACAAATTCCCATTCAGAGGCTTACCTGTAGAATTTGTGTCACCCTTTCCCACTACAATCACGTTAAAAATATTTATACTATACGACTCCCGAAGTTTAAGCGTGATCAAATACATACATTAATGAATGTTAAAAAAGTACTACTCTTTATGATAAAAAGATGTTTCCTTCTTCTTACTTGTCCTATTCTCAACTTTTATTTACACTAACATGCACTACACTACCATATAGCGAAAAGTCAATCGGGAGCTTAGAGCATGTCCCAGCAAGAGAGCCTGTGGTAGATAGCTGGTTGAGGAAAACCCCGCTAGCCAACGCGCAGTTCTCACCATCCAGTGAGGGAAGATCACAGCCGTAGCGCGAGAATAATCATGCACTACACTTACGGGAATAATGACCTAAGTCGTTGACGCGCCCGGAAAAATGAAATAATCAATCAATCAACAAATGTTGTTATAGTTTAATTATATAAATAAATGTCTTTATTGGTGGCTAGGCTCAGGCCATGTAATAAGGTACTTCACACAATTTTTGTTGTTTAATTTTTCTTAAATATACTTCTGGAAATAAATAAATTCTGAGATGCGCAACAATAAAGTGAAACTTCATCGTAGGAGGAAACAGATAAAGTTTTATCTCTGTGGCTGATTCATTTATCAAGGGACTGAAACACACGAACTCAAATCTGTTTGCATACTTCGTTTGAAATCGAACTCGAGAAATGGTTCAGGAGACGGAGACAAGTTAACACATCAGAAAAAATGGACTTTCGTGGTTAATTGCCAATGGGTCTATGACAATGTCTTCATTCTTGAACTCATATTATGAAAACTTGAGGTTTACGTTCGTAATTCTAAATCTGCTTGCACTTGCGATGATCTTACGAAAACTTATCTTTTTACTGATTATAAAACAATCTTAAAGCAAATGGGACAAAGCATAAGGCTTAAAGTAAATGTGTAGGGAACATTATTTCAATCTTTAGCGATTGTGAATAATAAAGTGAAGAAAACTGAAGATTCAATTTTCTTTTATCATCTTCACAAGTGATAAAATGAAAGATGGATGTGCCACTTGTAGCAACATTACACGAATCGCAGTTATGAGCCAAAAGGTACTGCAGTTATGAGCCAAATGCTGGACACCATTTTCAAAAGTGACTTTTACTCATTTCACGCGCGAGTGAATATTTCGCTTTGTTTTCAGAAGAACGATCACTAACAAAATGCCCTAAGCCCTTTTCATTTCAAGTGTTTCGACACTGTCAAGAGAGAAATTAAAGACAAACTAGATATTTTTTGTGTATCAATATGTTACTTCGTTTGCTTTCAAGTGCCGAAAATTCGCTGAAGGGCGGTGGAAGGGTTACACAATTCCTCTATCTCAGCTGAACGTTTAGCACGGTAGGCGATCGACCCGCCACACAGCAGTTCCCTAAGTATGCCAGACGCTCACGTGGAAGTTTTGAGGAACGCGGCAGTAATTGTCAAGAACCGGAATTTTAGAAACAAACTTCACAGCGGCACGAAAGGACTGTTTTGTTTGTTGATCTAAATCCTCTCCATAAAAAAAATGTTATCAGTCTTCTTTATTTTTCAAATTTATTCACAAGTTTCAGAAACGAATGAATAACGTTGTGGCCGAGAAGTGATTCAAGTTCTTACAAATTAGTCTTAGTTCTGGTGGGTGTGTCACATCTCATTTTATTAATCCCACACGAGCAGAATAAGCCTTTTGCCTACAATCCAATTATATATAATGTATAACGACACGAAAAGAAGCTATATATTGTAAAAAAATTCTCTAAAGAGGCAGTACAAATGGAAAATTGCTTCCAAAAATCTTGACTTGTCGCCTAACAGATTAAAATAAATAGTGAAAAAATTATGAATACATTAATTTCTATCAGTGTTTATGATTTAAAATTATACTGACTTCATCAAAATATCTGTTTTTATCGTGCATGAAGTAGATATCAGTTCATCACCATTCAGATTTCACAGATTTGAATAGGGTACGGAAATGTGCCAGCCATCTTACTCTTCCATACAAATTGTTGAAATATTAAATTATAGGCAAAGATGCACCCAAGAGGAAGGGGGAGCTCATGGGGCTATGGGAGCTCCTGGGCCCCCATACATATTAAAAATATAGGTTTTACTAATTTTCTCTACTAACGAAAGTCATTCAGTATATCAATTGTTTACGTCATAAATGTTTACTATAAGTTAAAAAATAAAAACACATTAAAAAACATTAAGTCGGCTGAACACCTGTACCTTTAGCTCCCCCGAGAGAAAAGTCTTGGGTGCTCCTCTGATTATAGATATGGTATACTGTTAGAACTACCTGTATACCCAAGAATGTATGGACGGACTCGGTTTTTTAGATCCAAAGCAAAATCTTGCATTTGGCCCTTCTCCCGTTGGATAGGTTTCAGAATTTCCTTTGAGATGGGGTCATCTTGACGGTATGGCTGCAAACGTAAGGAAACTCCTTTGGTTTTCAGCTCCTGAAACCGACAATATTTAAGCTTGTCTCCTTTTAATCAACCTAAATATTTTCTATATCATAGACAAAAAAGGGAACTTTGCCGTCAACTTTAACTTTTATGGTTAATTTTTAATTGAATAATTTATCATTCCTAAAATACAAAACTCCAGCGATGTGACGTTAAAAGAATACTAAATGCACTTTTATCCACAAATATAAAAATAATTCGATGTAAATTAAAACGGAAATATTTGGAAACAAAATTCTCTTGTGATGTGTGTTACGTAATGAAACTCAGAAAAAATGTTAATTTTTTTTTAAAATTCCAATGAGTTACTCCATCAGCCTGTTGCAGATTTTGTTGGAACGTTTTCCATCGAGAGTCGCGAAACGCAAACATAATATACATTCAAGATTAAATATAATTCAAAGATAATAAATTGAAGATTTGGGATCCTTATAGAAAAATTTAAATTTTTCTCAATTCTCCATGTCCGAAAGAATCTGTACCTGAATAATGTCCTTCGTGGAAGCACCGTAGCGCTTGCCAACTCGAAAACGCAGACTAGGACAGTGGCCGGTGTACCTACGACAAAACGATGACACACCTTCACAGTAACTCCGCCTCGTATTGTGCAGAAAAAAAAAAGATTACCTATTCACAGAATTATTTCACATTCCCATTCACAGCAGCGCAAACCAGATTCTTTTGGCGCCTCGTTTCAAAACTCCTCCCACAATGTGAATGGAGGTGCGCTGAATGAAATCCAGATTGGAAAGAAAATTAAATATGCACCTACCCGGGTACGAGACACGGCTCAGTCTGTGTGAGGAAGGCCGCTCGTTCCTCGGGTCGCACGTTCATAGCTCTGCGCTGGACTTGGCTTCACCCCTCCTGCTGTCATTAGTAGCCCCCAACGACGGCGGGCGGCGTCGGTGACTGGTGGTAAGTGGTACGAGAGGGAGGGAGGGAAGGAGTGAAGACCCACATTGCCTCTAGCGGAAGAAGTAGAAACTACAATCGACCCGTATTCGATAGATAATGAATGCGATTTTAACTTTCAGCGCGAGACTGTTGTTCTGCATAACAATCATCCGTTAAAAAAATTATATATATATAAATATATATATATAAACTATAGTATTATATATATACAGTACACTACTATAATCTATATAATAATATATATACTATATATTATAACAAAATATCAAAATACAGAATTATATACACACACTATATTTTTTTGTCCAGAAGAATGACAAGGATAACTTGGTCATGTTTTCTTTTGCATATTATAGATTTGTGAAATTGACCCAGATAGCTTGAGTAGAATTTCCAAAATTGAGAATTGTTCCACTTTTAAAGCAAAAATAATATTGTAATCACTTCTAACTCGACAATGGAATTATGATAAATATTACTTCCCAATACAAATTAAGGTGTGAAAAACTGTTGGTACTCCATCCTCTATCAATTGCCAAATAATGTTTTGTCGATAAGTGCACTCACAGTACATTGCAATAAAAATGTTTTCATAATTGACAGAACAAATTTTAACTTCATTCTAAAATGGGAAAAAAGGGGAAAATTGTGTCATCAGACATTTATTAATTCACTATCATTACTAATGCCATGCAACAATTGAGAAAGAATTAATAATAATTATGCACTAATTTTCAGTTCATTTTACAAAATACAATTGTGAAGTTTATTTAAAAAGACAAGTGGGAATGAATTATTTAAATAAAGCAGTTGTGGTATTTCAAAACCAATCTAAAAGTTGCCCACGAACACAACTTGTGTAAATTGTGTAAATTTATTGTTCACTTTCTTTAAAACATGTACAGATTTAACTTCTTTACATATGCACAAAGAAATATAATAGACATTAACTCTTTCTAAAACTAGCATCATAACTCCCCATTATATAGTAAAATCATTACATTTTTCTTAAGAACAGGGATAACACGTTTTTTAAATTTTTGCACAGTGAGAAAACAAAGCAATAAATTCGTTTTTCAATGAAATTCTGAAATGAACATTTTGCTTCACCATATTTTGTCAGAAAAAAAATGCTCTAAAATGGTGAATCAACCAGGTTTCTTCTCTAGAATACAAAAATTATAGAAGGTCTTTGACAATCTCACCATACAAAAATAACATTCAGAAATTAACTTAATCATGCACCCTCAAGTGACTAGAGAATATATTATCTAAACAAACAAATGACTTTCATGCACCAGGAGTGAACTATTTAACCTGTAAAGATGTATTCCTCCTAAATCTGAAGCTGCACTACAGCATCTTTTCTAAAACATTTTCCAATAGATTGGCTGTATTTAGAAGACCCATTAATTACCATTTTCTAATGAGAATATTACAACTAAAATATGACTAACTTGTACATTGTGTACATAAAGAGTCACACATAAAACACTGTATGAAATAAATACTGATATAATTGTTCTAACATTATTTTATAGTATTATCAATACACAACACAAAGGTTCTTTTTAAAGAGAATTTGACCAACACATTAGTATTAGACATTTTAGGCATGCATCAGGTAAACTAACTACTAAATATATTTACAAAAGTCAAAAACTAATCAATACATAAAATAAGTAGATAAATTCAGACTTCATTTAATACTGAAATTTATATATGAAATACTTATGGGATTTTGAATTAATATGAAATATGGAATGTTTTGGATTCACCCTTCCTCAAGTACAATTCCATTCACTCACAAACAAGCATTCAAAGGACAAGATGATTTGATTAAAAAAAAATTACAAAATAAATACAAACAAAATATGAACAACACTTCACCCTTGAATAAGAGCCAAGAGCTAATACAAGACTATGGCAAGAATAGATGCGATATTAATTGGGCTCCAAATGAAATTAATTGGGCATTAACTATCAGTCACATCTTGTTATTAGTTGTGTTCAAAATATGCACATTCAGGATTTGTTCTACAAATGGAAAAAAAACATTTTATTTAGGTGTAATAGTGTCAGGATAAAAAATCTCTGAAAATTTAATTTTGTTAATTTTAGAATTATAATATTTTGGAAATTAATAAAAAACAAAATAACTTAATTCCATTGATCTTTTATGAGTATTTTTACATTACTTACAATTCAGGGAGGTTCATTATAGTCTCCAACTAAAGATTTTCCCAAGAATAATTAAACTTAAATTTTGAAGAAGAATAAAGAATCCTGAGAATTCAGATCACCATAAATCTTTCATTACAGTAGTATTTGTGCATAGGCATTAATTAGTATTTTACAAATTTCCAAGTTTCTCAAGACATTTTTTTTTCATATCCACAAAATTATATAGCACAATATAATAAATTATATCAATATCACATGTTATACATGATTATTCAAGAATACATGGAGATGTTACATTGATCAACATTTTAATGCCAATCGAAAGTAATATTTTATTGTTGTTAATAATATAATCCTGAAAAATATTATAATACATTCATTATGATGACATGATTATTTTCCAATACTCATGTTTGATGAACTGAATATAATATTTTTATTAGTAATTAGCATAGAGGAACCACTATATTTTCAAAAAAATATTTTTAGAAAGCAGAATATTTTCTTACTTAGGAGACCTTGATGCTCTCCAATACATGCTATTTAACTACTAAAATAACAAATCACAAACATTTTCTACGAATCATCACAGAAACAGATGCTTGCTAGTAAAATTAGTTAAAAAAAGAAATTCAAAAAACATTAGCTGAAATATGACTAGGTAAAAAAGAGAATATTAGTATTACGGAATTAAAAATAATACACATCACACACTATTATCTCATTTACATAATTTCAATGTCCTTGGTAAGCATTATTACACTCAGTTTAAAATAATTTCTTCAAAAGGTTCCTCTATATTAATTATTAAACATGTCAGTAAATTTTAATATAGAGGTAATGACTATCCATGAAATGAATAAGTAGATAATACAAGAAAACATCCTTCTATCATTGGAATCTCATACGATATGTATCTATAAGCAGCATTTCTATGTAAATATCCTTTTGCATTCTCCACATCATAGGACACACATAAGTAATGGATATAATTAATATTCTGCAATGAGTGAATTGCAGAAATCTGTATTTTATATTTGCAACATTATAAAATACATTAGATGTAGCAAAATATTCATACGAGTTTTGTACAAAATACATCACAGATATTTGCCTCTTCTGACACAGCACAATTTCAATAGTGTAAAGACATCAACATAACATATAAACAGCACACACACACATTGATGCAGCAAACTTTTATAAATAAACATAACAAACATTATAACCTGCAGCGAACCCTATCGTAAAATATAATTATCTGAAAGCTCTTAAAGAGAAAATTGTATGAATGTAAAAAATGAAAATAGTTTCAATACTCAGAATTACAGCACAGCCTTCCTCTGAGCAAATATGCTATAACACTTATGCATAATTCAATGCAATATACCAGTCATTGTCTTCATATATATATACACAGCAAAATAGTCAGATGTGAAAAGAATAATCAGGTACACTGAATGTGTTCTGAATCAACAGAGAAGGCTGATGTTACCATTATCAGAACCCAACAATAGTAATCTATTAAGAGGGAGAACAGCCATTGAAGTAAGGACTCCTTTAAAGGTATCAGATCTTAATCTAGTGGATGAAAATGATGCTTCTGCATCGATTGCTGTATGGACTCCAATTCGACTGGCTGTAGTTCCTGAAATCAATTCTGAATGGTAGCAGTTCAAACAATGAACTGGTTCCGCTGGGCCTCTGAAAAATAAACAGAGATGAAAATATTTTATAATTTTCTCTTTATTTTTACATTAAAGAACTTATTTTCTATTAATTTGTAGAATTTTTGTGCTTCAAAGAGAGAAAAAAAATTTGGAGATCAAAATATGGAAAATTAACTTAGAGATATTGTCAGGTATCAATATTTTAATTCCACTAATGATCATTTCGATCGCGTAGCGCATCATCCTCAGAGCTAACAAACAAACAAATATACAATGTGAAATATTAACAGTTAGTTATTTGTATACAAGATGCGTAAGCAAACTGGACTCGTTGAGCATACCTTTGCCCACTCTGCGGCCGAAAACAAAGTTCTTGCGAATTTTTGAGCGGTGTCTTGTTTAAGAGCACAGGCCGGTCGGCAGGCGGGAGGGGGCGGAAGAGGTGGCGGTGCGGGTAAGCGGTTCGTAAAATGGCGGGTGCTGGTGGATGCTGCGAGAGAGCCGCGATAGGGCGAGCGCAAGCCGTTAGTGCGGTCGTGGGGAGGGCTGGGTGGTGGGTTAGGTGTACACTTTGTGCTAATTTAGCCGGCCGAGGTAGAGAGAGCTTCAGGGTCTGTTGGTTAAGACATGTCATGCTTTCTGTGCTTTTTGAGGGCTGTTGTGTAGTGTAAGATCCGCAAAGTGCTGAGACTGTGGTTAGTGTTATCACCTAAATTAAACAAAAACACACATTTGATAAACCAAAATTTGCCGCGATTCTAGAAGATTGAGAACAGGTACTGGAACAGAATAAAATTATAGAAGCCTTTACCACATACACAACACCTCAAAAAACAGAACATGACATGTCTTAACCAACAGATCCTGAAACTCTCTTCACCTCTACTTGAGAAATTAGCAAAAGTTGTACCACCCCTAACGCCACCCCCCAGCCCTCCCCACCCACTAACTTTCGCTCGCGCCTACTGTCTCTCAAGCATCCACGCAGCACCCCCAGCAGTGTTTACGACCTTCACCCGCACGCCACACCCCTCTTCCCGCCCCCTCCCGCTTGCCACCGCTGCTGCGGCTCTTGCTCTTAAAGCAAGACCACGACGAGCTTCAAAAATTCGGGCAGAACTTTGTTTTCAGCCCAGAAGCTGCAAGGTAGTGTACGGATCCAGGTTTGCTTACGCTACTTGTATACAATCTAACCAACCCTGTTTAATAGTTTCACAGTTGCTGATCATTCAGTATTGTTTTGGAGCTCTGAAGATGATCGCGTACGCGCGATCGAGAGGATGATCGTATAGTCATTAAAATATTGATACCTGACAATATCTCTATTTATTTATCAAAAAAAAAAAAAAAAGAAGGTATCTACTTCACCAACAATCCAATTAAAATTAACTTACTTCATATGAAAATTTAGTTTGCCATCAAGAATGTTCCAGGCAGAGACTGTCTGATCCAGTGAGGAACTAATAACACAATTGTTATTTGCTGCAACTAGTTGCAACACTTCTCCTTCATGTCCTTTCCATGAAGACATAATTAGGCCAGTACGTATATCAAGAATAGTTAAGGTTCCAGAAGACTGTCCCACTGCCACCCAGTGTCCTTCTGGACCTACAGCTATGCAACGAATAAGGCCAGCAGGATTCATAGAAACCTAGGCAAAAAGACAAGTATTATACATGAAGTTCAATGTTACATGTATAGTCATAAATACACCCATACAGTCATTATCAATAAGAGAGAAGTATAAAATATGAGAGGACACCAATATAAATTTCAGAAAGGTTAACTACCATACATGAACCATGTAAAAAGAAGACTATTACTGTGCATGAGCCAAAATTGTGATTCGTAGCTCTGCACTCTTCATCAGAAGCCAATAATTATTTATCAGCTTCTGACAAGCAACTACCCCTCTCTCATTCAACAAGGTGTCGTCACATGTACAATTTCAGTGACAGTTGATGCTATTCAAACATGTCTGCATCACAAGCACAGAGTACCAATTCTGTGGCACCAGTTGACTGTACCATGTACCCCACAAGAAGTACCCAGAGGTCTTTTAATACCATGAGAGCCTGAGAGAGTGACTCAGGAACCAATTCACACTCTCAAGGAAGTGTTTCTATCTAAATAATTAGTTATGCACTAATATACAAATTTGATATCATCAAATTCAGTCTTTATTCAAGACAACCTTCTGTTTCAAAAAGTGGCAGAATGTTACACAGAAGGATAAAGAAAAAAAACCCTGATGTATCATCCAATTTTTATGAATATAATTATAATAATTTTTCACAAGTAAAAGGCAGAGTTGGGACTTATACATAAAAAACTACGAAGCAGTTTTACAAGCAATTATTTTGATCCTTTTTTGTTTCTCATTGTTTTTATAAAATATATTGTAGAAATCTATAGATCAACCAAAATTTCCACCATCAATATTTTCTCCATTTTTCTCAAAGATTTATTAAGTGACAAAACTATGAATTACAATGAAAAATTAAGTAACAAAATAGATATAATATTCCTATACCTTCAGTTCATTAATGAAACTGCATGTCCGGCCATCTATGATACGTAATGTAGCATCAGTAGTGGATGCCAAAAGACATGTGCTTGGAGGTGGCATTGCTTTCAAAACATTTATAGGAGGGCTACGAGAAGAATCTAATTGCCCCAGAACACCACCAATGAATGGATCCCATAAATGTACAACTGAATCACAAGATGCGGCCAGACGAAGAGATTCAAGAAATGATATTGCCATTACGGATTTACGATGACCTGTGTAAGTCCACTGACAGTGTGAAACAGAATTCCCATCGCCCTGAAAAAGATAAAGATTCATTAATGACATAATATCACTCTTCTTACAAGGAGAATTTACATTAACTGAATAAACTTTCCAATGGGGATTAAATTGCATTGGACTTGAGAGAAAATAATTCCATCCTAAACTAGTAGAGCTACGATTTTCAAGAAATTGGCCATAAGCTTATTACAAGTCCTGTCTTTTAAAATCAGATTTCATTGAGGAAAAAATCTCTATCTTCAATACTGTAGTTGTAGGAAGACACCAAATATATTTTAAATATCCAATTTTAGAAAATTCAACAAAAATGAGACTTGCACCATTCTTTTATGCATTCTTTATCCTACCTAAGGAAAAATTAACAAAATTTGGAGACACTTTTGTAAAATTTTGAAAATGTTGAGGTTTCTTGTATTATATCTTCAAAATTGGTTTCAAAAACAGTTTACATGCTAGCTTTGACAGCTGGAGAGAAAAATGGGCAGATGTTTTGCCGGCAAATGATTTTTTGGTTAAAGACCCACAAAATTTGGATTCTGACTACATAACATGTTAGAGGAAGTAAATTACCATAAATAGGAAAAAAAATTATCCACTTTTTCATTAACAGGGCCTGGCAACATGACTTTTTCTGCCAAAAATTCATGATTTTCCAGTGCACAATTACAATACTTTCTCCTCTTACGAAGTATGAGCGAGAAAGTTAAAGGTTGATTGGAGAGGCAGGATGATCAAGTTAATGGGGAGGTCATCAAGAGGGTTATAGTACTACATTTGAAAACTCTCAAGTTAATGAGTGAATTTCTGAGTGGCTTGTTGCTGAGATGTCTCCACATTAGATTTTAATGGAAAGTTATACATTTCCAAAGCTGATTTGACATTGTAACACCTGTGTCATATTCAGTTTCCATAACAGCAAATTGTATTGTAATGCATGAAAACAAGTTCAAATGCCAGGTTAAGAGGAGCATTGTCATAGTCTGTAACGGCCAAACACCAGGTATTTCATGTTAACATGCAAATTAACATTTATTCACAATTCATTAGAGAAAGAAGAACCTAAGTCCTCTTGTGTCTAAGTCACTCATGAAAGAGATAAATAAGAAGGAAAAAGCAAAAATTATAAATATTTGGAGAGTCACATTTTAATAAAAAAGTTACTTTCAGCAGTCCTATGCTATATCCATTCTGTTGGAAATACAGTGTTCATTAAATGTCAAAATACACAAATGGATTAAGAACAATATTATGAAAAACTTTAACGGAACCAACTGAAAGTCTCATTTGCATATGAAATTAGTCTCATTTGCATATGAAATTAATGATTGAAACTTGTGTAAATTTAATTGATAAGAAAATGAAATGTATGAATCATACCTCACTTCTGAGGGACCATAATTTCACAGTCTTGTCACGGCTTCCACTAATGAAACTGTTTTCATTGTCAAGGGCTTGAATCATTCTGACACTATTGCTATGTCCAGAAAATGTCTGCAGTTTAATTTGCTTGAAGTTGAAACGTGTGTCTTTTTCAGCACGCCCTATTTCATGTTCCCAATATGCCAACCAGTTGCCTCGCAGATGTCTGCAGAAGAAAAGAACCACATACATGAGAACTTAAAATAAATTATATCTACTTCTATATATTTATAAAACTTTGCAAACCTTTTTGTATTTTCCATTTTTCTACTAATGAGTGCCATAAATTCTTCAGATGAAGATGGTGGAATAACTGATGGCACATCTACTCTCTGAAAAAATAAAACCAGAAGTCAAATTGAACTGATGAATTGTGTAGAATAATTTTGCACAAACAATTATTGATATACCTGCAAATCAATTCTGTTGCCAACAACAGAAACATTGCTTCCAAAACTTCCAGAACCTCTATCAAAATCAGCATGACATGTAGGGGTCAAATAGTCAGACAAATATTGAAGATTTATAGGACCTACAAAAAAATACAATGTAATTACAAAGAGAAATCGAATAATTTTTGAAACATACATTGGCAGTCTATCACTTCTCATTTCATACCTCCAGATGTAGACTGTTGTCGCTCTTGCTCATATTCAAAGCACAAATCTTTAATAAAATCCTCATTCTTTAGTGACTGTTCCATTACTTGTTCTCCAAGATAACGTAAAAATGACACGTATGATTTGTGAGCCAATTCAGGCGTAAAAGTACTCTTCAATTCTTCAATAGCCTAACAACCAATGGAAAATTCATCAGGAATGACAGAAAAGAAAAATTAATTTTATAAAATGTAAATTTCTTCTTGAAATGTTATCCATTCATTCTTAATAGGAATACTCTATTGCAATGTGATGCAATGCAATGTACAGTAATTGTTATGAATAAGTCAAGTTAAATTTTAAAAAATGTGTTGCCTTTTGAGGGCAGGACAAAGATGGAAGAATGCCCTTTCTTGCATCTACCACTTAACTAACTAAAGAAAATTTCTCTCTAAGTAAATTTAGTCTTCTATTAACAATGCACAAGAATTTAAAAAGGTCTTCTCTGATAAAATAGGTTTCTATAGTTCATATAATGTTTATTCTATCTACAAATTAAATGACACCATTGAACACTTTTACATATGTATCACATCTATTACATTATTGGCCATTCAACAGAATCAATCTCAGTTTAGGGGATTTTTAAAGGCACGTAAATTATAATGAATTTGTAGTTTGCAAAACAAACCAGCTCAGCAAAACAAATTTTTTCAATACTTCCTGTTTTTATAATATCTCAGGTGGGAGTGATGCATGAATGGATAAATAAGGCTGAGATGATTGTGACAATGAATACGCCTAGGAGCCTTTAACGTGCCATACTCACAATAAAGATCATTAAGACATGGACCATTGGAATTCTTTCCTAGAGTTTGGGTAATAAGAGAGAAAAATTTAATATACCCGATTCCTAGTTTGATCATGATCTCCTTCAGATCCCATTCCCAAAGGAGGGGAATATGAATCAGCTGAGTCACTATCACGAAGCCTGGCATGTGTAATCTGCAATGGTGTTCCTTTGACAGTCCATTCAGCAGTGGTGCCATCACGACGAATTTCCAAAAAATTATAATCTTCCAGTGATTTTGAGATATTGGGGCTTTCTTTTTTGCTGTCCACACTTCGACTCATGTGGCTCACTTCTTCATTTTTTTTCCTTCCATGAGCCTTATCAAATGCAAGAAAGAATCTCTGAAGAGAAGGAATAGCTAAGTTCTTTCGAGTCATTTCACATCCAATTCGCAAGGCCAATATGTACACTGCATCAACAAATTTACTAGCTACTGCGGCTCTGGCTAAATATCCTGAAGGGAAAATAAAACGTGTTGTGGAAACAAGACGTACTGCAGGGTTTAAAATTGTTTTTAGAACAACATCCTGTAAAGAAATACATTAATTTAGATAATTCAGAAATGCATCATAAGCAAATGATACTTTTAAATAGGAACTCCATCAACTTAAGGAATGCAAACTATTAAATGTAATAATTACAAAAAATAGATGAAGTATTTGCACTTATATTACTATCAATACTAGAAAATATTTATAACTTGTAACTTATTACTTGCAACTGGTCCATTAAAGTAGCATCAGAGAGATATGGAATTATGTATCGAAGTAGTGCAAGACACCCAACTAGTCCTCCTTCCAAGTTAGCTGTTAACTTTCTTTTGCATAAAGCAATCAATTCTCCCATATGAGGCAAATACTGCAGCACAATTAGCTGCTCACCATAAAGTCCTTAAGAAGCAGAATTTCAGAATATTAATGAACACAGAATTACAAAAAATTTATTTAATTTCACAGTTAAAATTAGATAAAGAAGAGAACAAAATATGAATAAAATTTACAAAAATGAAGCTCAAAATAATTTGCAAATTAGTTATTTTACTTCAACTTGATTTACCTGCAATTGATGTTAAACACTCAAGGACCTTCTGAGCATTTTTGTCACCAATCACATTTCCATTAGCTATGTTCAAAATGTCACCAGAATCATGGTTTTCTACTGAATTGCCGCTTGAGAGAGGGCTTAAATTTTCTTTTCCTAGGTAACACAAAGTTAACATTCTAAGCAAATTTCTAGATAGATGTCTTGATGTAAGAACTGGTCCTAGTCGATGAGAAAGCCAGAGTAATGAATCAGCACTCATGTCTGATACCTGCAAAATATTTGTTTTTAATATTAAAAGGCAATTTATAAAAATAATATCTGAATAATGCATGTTCAATTTTAAATTAATTCATAATATTTTTCTTTACTTTGTACTGGCCCATTGGCTTCTTGATTTTTTCATCTCTGTGATCTTTGACTGCATCATCTTCCGGCAATTTTGAAGAAGTCTCCGGAGTATGAATTTCATCACAAACAGTGCCCTCTATATTCAAATGAGACATATGTTCTGTATCCTTTCCACTGTGGTAAGCATCAGTAATATCATTTGCTTCCTCAATTTCTTCTGCTTCTATAGTCTCTTCATCTCCTGAAATAAACAAATGAAATATATATCCGTGTGTGTGTCTGTGTGTCTGTCTGTTTCTGTGTCTGTCTCCGTCTGTCTGTCAGTCTGCACGTATGCGTGCGTGGGCGTTTGTTTGTGTGTGTGTGTGTGTGTGTGTGTGGGCATGTGCGTGCGAGTGAGCAAGAATCTCCAAAATATAATAATATTTAATACCAGGTAGCTCCAGTGATGCATTATCTTCTCCATCACCAGAAGGTTGAGGAAGATTAAGGTCCAAATGATCCATTAAATTGTACAATGGTGCATCACTATCTCCAACAGGTGACTGCCTACCTACATCTTCTGACTCAAACACAAAAACCTCTGAAATATAAAATTTGGTATGAATATTTTGAGTTATTATTTCCCTTTATTATCATTAACTAGTTTTCTGTCACATGGCAGGTTCCAGATCCTCAACACCCAGACACTCTCTTTGATTCTTTCTTTCGATGTATATGTATTTTTCATTCAAAACTTGAGCTGGCAACTATTGTCAACCAACATAAAAGAGAACAAGAAATATCTCAACTGATTTACATCTCACCAGGTTCTAAGTCCGCATCTTGGTCTTGTTCTATAGGTTTCTTATTGTCTTCTTCGCTGTTACAAGGTTTATTTTCCGAATCTCCAGAAGAGTCTTCATCCAAGGGAGACAATGTTCCTACAGGTACAACTTCTTCCAGATCACATGTCCTTAAATAAAAAAATAAATAAAAAGAACGTTTTTTGATTAGTCACCATCTTGCTACTATAATACTATTTACTCATTTTCAAAACCATATGAAAATAAATTTATTTTATACAATGTGCAAAAATCAAAGCAGAGAGGAAAAATAATCTTCTATAGTTATAAAAAAGAAAGAAAGTTGTCAGGATATACCTTATGGTTAAAATTATACTAAAAATCATTGAGGAAAGAAAATTTACATACTAAAATTTTGAATTTATGAATAATCAGAATTTTCAAGAAACAAGAAAGAAAAAATACATACTTCAGATTTGAAGTTTTACTCCTAAATTCTGCTTGCTGTTGAGTAAATCCATGTTCTGTTGAATTTACTTCTCGGTATCCTCCAACTGCTTCCACTAATGGTGTAATGAAATTTTCAAGGAAAGTTTTCAAACCTAGGCGAACAATTAGTTGCAACAAGAAGCTTCGATGATATAATTTGACATGTTTATTGGCACTTCCTGTCACACATTGGTCTTCTGAACCGTATTCATATAATTTGACAATAGACTCCAGTAATACAGAACATGTTTTATGGGGACCTAGTACTTTGGCAATTGGGTCAAAGAGATACCAAGCAGCTGATATAGATGTGCAAGAATCCTCAAGCAGCTCCTTTATGTACGGTAGAATTAATTCAATGCTTTCATATGATCCAGAGGCCTGTATTTCTGGCAACAAAATTCCAAGCTCTTCACAGGCAGTTTTCACTTTCAACTCTCCAACTTTGGAATTGAACAATGCAATTTTAATTGACGAATCACTTCCCAAATCTTTAGATGTAGCAGTTGCGTCAAGAGAGTTTAGAAATTTGAGTTCACGAGTAATTGATGTGTAATCATGGAACTTTTGAAGAAGAGTATATATTCCTGAGAAGAATCTGGGAAAAGGGAACACAGCAGAGCACAAAAGTGGCTGAAGCATTTGATGAGCAGATGGTAGAGGTAAACCTTTATCTGTTACAACATATGAATGACCATTCAGAGGAGTTAACTTTCCTGGAGGAAAATGTGGTGAATCGAGAATACTAAAACCTGAATTAATGTCTACTTGCAACAGCAAAGACACAGCGTACTTTGCATAACGTGGCAAACTATCACTGGAATATGCCAAAACTGATCTACAAGCATGCAAACGTTCTTCAAATGAAAGGTACGTATGACTTCCAAAAGCTCGAAGTTTTGATGCCATAAGAAGCTCAACTATCAAGCAACCAAGAACCTAAAATAAGAAATTAATTAAAAAAAAATATTCTGGAAAATTTCTTCCAAGTTTCCTTTCTTTATGTTTCTTCCATAATAATGTTTTGAAAATTCACAAAAAAGTTGTATTTAACTTACCTTCATATCAAGTGAACGAGAGTGAGTAACATTTTTTTTATGATCTTCTCTGTTATGATGATCAGAATGTTTAGAAGTACTTTGTGTTTTATGGCAAAATGTTCTTCCCAGAAAACCATATAAAGATTCAACATTCTGAAGTGCAGCAATTGGATTGTAATCTCTAGGTAAAACAATAGTAGATCCACCATTTACTGTAGAACTACTAGGTTTTTGATCTACTCTATCTTTCTCTTCCAACACAGCAAATGGAGGCTGCAAAAAATTATATTCCCATGAAATACATAATTATTTAAACAATGTACTTTACTATAAATGAACTGTCAATAAAATTGCTTTTAAAATAAGTAATAATAGTAGCAGCACTTGCATAAATATAATTTTTGCTCAATAGCAAGTAAAGTAATGTGTATAAACATATTATGGATATTTCATCCCCCAGATTTGCAGCCTTCTTTAGTGCTTTGTGGTTGAAAATTCAAAGAACAAAAACAATCAAAAAACTATGTGATGTAACATAAAACTTGGCTTATAACATGACTAAAAACTATAAACTTAAACTAAACCTAAAATACTTTCAATATTTATTACATACAGAAAGATAGGAGTTTAAAATTTAAGGAAAAACCAAAACACTATTTAGAGATTTTTGATTTTTTTGAAATTTTGTTCTAGCTTTCTGTATTTTGTAAATATTGCAAACATGTTTTGATTTGATTTATTTAGTTAAAAAAAAAAACAGTAAAACTGTATATGATATATGGGGGAGAAGACAAGGTTTCCTGCGCTCCAGAATTCCTTCCCAACATTTTAATTATAAATAGTAGAAAGATGAATAAAAGTTTAAAAACAAAATACATTATAATTTTTTTTTACAAAAGCACAATGTTAGCAACATTTTAAAAACTAGATATTTTCATTCCATATAGAAAACTTATTTGCATCTGTAAACAAACTGCAGATTTGATTTTTCGGCATTGCTAACAACTTGCTGTTATCTCTACTCTTACCACTACAAGCAAAAGGAGAGCTCAACAAAACGTGCACATAGTGAAGCTACATTTATGTCCAGAAACAAAAAAAAGGAGCCTTCTCAGCATTTGCTCAATGAATTAGGGAAACTGGACAAAAACCTGATTGAGATTTTCAAGTTTCTTATTACATAAATCTATTGTTTTGATGTTTTTATTATTTGAGTATTAATTAATGAAGCACTAAGAAGGTTTTCAAATCTTGCCTGTATAATGTTTATATACTCCTTTTTGACCAGGTGAACCAACAAAAAAAATTCAAATGAATTGTTTTTGTTATTGAAAGAATTGCTAATTTTAATGTATATCACCTTTATCTCCTTCATCTATTTTGAAGATAATGGATTAATGTAATTTAGAACAGGGTTGTCCAACTGGTGGTCCGCGGTGCCATTTATTGAGGCCTGTGAAAGGTTATTAGTCAAATACGAGAACGTTGTGTGCTTAGTGTAGGGGACCTTGTAGGGGACTGCACCCTCTTAATGTAGAAGTTGGTTAAGTTCCAATTTTAGGATTGTTTTTTCCCAGTAAATTCAGTAATTCAACATCATCTCAATGTTTTTCACTGCTATACACAAGGCACAGTCTAATAACATGCATGATTCCTCCTCCCCTCCCTTCTTTGTTTCAGAGCAGCTGCAAACGGCCAAGATCAACAATATAGGCTTACGTGTATATTGCCCAAGAAATTAAAATATGGCATGCCACCATATTAAAGATTTTAATTGTGGCTCTTGAGGTCTTACAAGTTGGACACCCCTGATTTAGAATATAACTTTAGAACTTCATGAGGATCAAGGTAAAAAAAATTCCTACCAACAGTGAGCCTCGAGATCTACTGAGAAGGCGACTTAGAGCTAATGGTGAGGAACGAGAAAGATTTGGTGATGCTCCTTGTTCTTCCTCCTCAAAACCAGAACTATGACCTTCGTCTTCACTGGATCGTTCACCTGTTTCTACGGAAGAAAATGTTTGAATGGAAATAAGAAACAATATCTAGAAAAAAAAATCAAATCTACATATTTTATAATAATCACACGAGTTTATAATTACATAACTGGTGCATAATTACCTATCCACAGGTATGGAACAGTACGTTTAAGAATAAGAAGATGAAAATAACAAAATGTGATATTAAATTTATATGATGAACAAATAGAAAGTTAATACAAAAGTAATGTATCTGGACAATGTGTAATAGGAAACTTCCAGAGCTTAAGGTACTTCCCTTCCCAAAGGATGATGTTTAAACTTTTTTTTAAAATTTCAGTGAATTACATGCCCAAATACTTCCTTTTTCTAAATTGTAGTTTTAATTTCCTCATACCATATTTGAGTTTGAGGAGTCCTAATTTGGGATTGTGTTTCACCCTCCTGAGAATTATGAAAGTTGTATTTGTACACAAGTCTCTCTTGAACACTGGTTTTCAGCAATAAATCTATTAATACTAATGGTTGCTCTGCATTTCGAAGGGGATCTTATTACTCCTACAAAAGCTGAACTAATTTAATTCTGGAAGCTTTGTTTACACGTGACTTTCATGATTAGTTTCTTGAGACCCTGCTGTTGTTGTTTGTTTGTGTTTGTGTTTGTTTGTGTTTGTTTGTTTGTTTGTGTGTGTGTGTGTGTGTGTGTGTGTGTGTGTGCGCGTGTGTGTGTGTTTTTCCTTCAGTGGAATTTGTATTGGGTTAATTTTTTTTATAAAAGAGGTAAATGTGCATTATGAGTTTGAGAAAAATGGCAGGACAATTGTATGGAAACCAAAATACTATGCAGGGAAGTGCAGTGAATAAAGATACAAGTGATGTGTCTTCAATGCAAGGTCTGGTATTTCTTACAATTTTATTAGACATTAGTGAAATAAAAATGTTTGCCAGAAAAACAGGTGTGCTAATGGATGAGTTACTAATTATATATTAGACTACACTGATTTCATATTACATTTAAAACTAGTAGTGTAGTACAGAGAGAAAGTAAAAGATCAAAGTAAGTGTTACAACTAGGGGAGTATTTGTCTGCTTGGGTTGTGCTATAAGTGTAAGCAAAAATTGAGAAAAACAGAATAACTCTAATTACAGTCTACACTCTACCGTAGGAACAACAAGAATTTACAAAAGGTCATTAAAAATAGAAGAAATTTACAATAAAACAAATAATTGAGAAATATGGGTGGTTTTATAAGGAGAAACATTTAACCTTTACTGATGTTTGATATTGTTACAATGAAACATAAATTATCATATATTATAAAATAAGAATGATACTCATGTGAACTAGCATAAGTGATGAGAAGTATAATTCTAGTATTGCAGTAAAATCTTGTGACTTGTGACAGTGGGTTAGTGACTGGGAAAAGGCATATAAACAAAGAAGTAAGTCAAGGAGACAGTCTTTCATCAAAGTTCTTTGAAAAATTTTGAAATATATGGAAGAACATGATATTCTCAGAAATTAGAACAATATCCTTTTTATGCTGTTGACCAGGTGATTTTGCAGGAAAATGAGGAGGAACTACAATAATCAATTTATCAGCTGGAACAGATTTTTAAGAAGTACAAAGTAATAAAATCAATTAACAAAATTAAAGAAGTGTTTTTTAAAGGGGGGGAAAAATCAAAAAAACAAAGACTGCAATACAAAACAAGGTTTTTGAACAAAGGATTAATTTTAATTATCAAGGGTGTTTAAGTATAAAAAAAGGTAGGGATGTAAACAGAATAATTAATAAATTTCAAGCAATATTTGGAACTATAAATAGAGCTTTTAAAAAGAACAAAAATAAACTTTATTACGAGTTTATGAAGTCATAGTGCTTCCAGTTATACCATAAAGTTTTTTGGTACAAAACAACAGGATATAAAAGGAATTGAAATAGTGGGAAAGAGATCACTGAGAGAAGGATAGGGCTTACCACTAAGAGATCAAATAAGTGAGGATTTTAAGAAGTGTGATATGGGAAATTGAAACAGTATTTGAAAAAATAAAAGAGTAAGACTGCAATGAATGGAACACATGGAAAAATGTGGTAACACAGACTTAGTGTAAGTTCTGAAATATAAACCATGAGGAAAAAACAAGATTTCAAGGCCAAGAACGATGAAATGAGGCTGAAACAGGAAACATGACTAATCCTTAAAGGAAGATGATAATGATAACAAAGATGGAAACGAATATTACTGTTACCTTTTATTTGATATTAATGCCTAAATCAGTGAATTTTTCTTTTGAATTGTCCAATTTGAACAATTGCCTCTTCTGAAATATTTTTTCACATGCTTTGACTCAACTAAAACATCTTAACAACAAGCGGGTGTGGATCCATTTGGAGGGAAATGAGGGATTTTTCCCCCCTAAAATTTTTCTGTTACTATTAATTGTAACTTGTCCCAAAACTTTCATGCAAAAATATTTTCGGATAATCATTAAAACAAATAAAATCATATCGCAGCATGAGCTGAGTGTAGCCTGCACCCCTTAAAAATATCTGTAATATAAATATTCGACAAAAACATTTAGAATTTCTTCACCCAAAATTTGTCTCTAGATCTGCATGCTACAAGCTATTGAAAATTCAAATTATTCTTTCTGAACAATAAAGAATGAACATTATTCTAGTACATGATACAGAATAGCAATTGTAACATTAATAATTTTTCGAGGGCAAATTAGGCAACTAATGTTTAAAAAGCACATTAGTGTCACTGTGCAAAGAGATTGAAAACTTTTTTGAGATATGGTGTTAAAATAAGCTTCTATTTTTTTAAAATAAATATATTTTAAAAACAAAAATTTTGAAAAAAATTTAAAATCTTACATTAAAAAAAAGCATATTTTGGGTAGATAAGATATCTTACGAAAACAAGACAATTACCTACAGCAAATTTCCTAAGAGAGTTCAAGATATGGAATTTATCAATTTATTTTCTTCAAATGTTTCTATCTCTTACTTCTCATTTCTTTATTACTTTAATGAACTTTCTATTGTTTCTTCATTATTATTTATTTATTGTTATTTAAGGTCACATCAACATTAGGTCATTAGCAACCACTATTCATTATTTATTAACTTCAAAAACAGCTAAAAACTGTGCGTGACGTGCTATGGGGAGAAGTTAATTTAAAGTTATATTTATGTCCAGAAGCAAAACAAGGGGCCATCTCATCATTTGCTCAAGAATCAGGGAAACTGAATAAAAACCAGATCAAGATGGGAGTCATTGACCCAGAAGCTAAAGTACAATACTTGTTACAGATTCTTTAGAATTATACAATTCAAATGGTAAATTACAATAAACGTCATTGTTAAAATTAATATTACATTCCTTTTGCATTCAACGGTATGGTAACTGTGAAGATGACATGACATGGTGATGATAGGGGATGAAAGAATGAACAAACACAACCATGCCCGAAGCGGGACACACAAATCTGCGATCCTTCAGTCCAAGATCGCTGTGGCACTACTGCCTTAATGATCTCGGCCATCTGGACCGGCATTTTTATTTTTGTTAGGGCAGCAAATGCACAAGAAAGTTTTCAGAAAAACATTTGAATCAGAGATCAGAGAAAACTTACTTTTTCTTTCTTTTCGGATAGGTTGAATTTTTGGTGCTAGCACACTCCAGTATGGAGAAAAACCAGGACGTTGTGGATGAGGCTGTATAAACAGCTGCACAACTCCTGTATTTCTTAATGAAGTGTGGCTATCCACCAGTTGAAGGCACACATTTTTGGACTTAATAGCAGCACTTCCAGACAACCTAATAACAAGAAAGGACTTTTTTTAATCTTGGTTTTGCTTATTGTTAAAGAAAAAACAGACACACACACACACACATACCTGAAAATACATAGTAGAGCATACTCAAGTATCTTTAATGTGCTAACTTAATTATTCTTTAATGTTTTTAACACAACAATGAATAATGTAATACATAGCAGACTTACAATTATAATCTGATAAAAGATCAATGGGAAATATTTAGTAGACTAGTAAATTATTGACTGAATGAAGCAGTACAATAATATTAGTATAAGTGTCAGGAATATGCTTAAGTAATTTGAGGAGTTGGAATATATAATAAATCACATGTGAAAACTTTAAACTCTTTTTCCTCAGAACTGTTTTAGGGATTAAGATATTCTTCCATTCCACGCCTCCATTGCTGAAGCTCTAACCTATCACCAGTTTCTCATAGACAAGAATTTCCTGAATTTAGATATGGGAAAACAATAACTTTAAAATGATAAAAACCTTTCAATATAGCAAGTAATTGGATTTACAAGGTGAAATACATTGTCAAATACGAAAACACTTACTTATATCCAAATGTTAGGTCGATCCAATGATGAAGCCGTTCAGAAACATAACAACTTTCAAGAGCTTCTTGATGCTTTTCGATAAAGTCTTGAGTAGATGAAGCCCATGAAGGCACCTCCAGATCAGGCAAATCTTCATGAACAGACTGAAGAATTTTCTCAGACGATGTTGACAATTTTATAAAATCATTAATTATACATAAAACCATTTACTCAAGAACATACTTTAAAAACTGTCGGATCTGTGAAGAACTCAGGAATACATTCATCAGGAGTCCATTCTTGAAGTCTTTGAATAGATGAGGGATATTCAGCAGGAACCCATTTTGTTCGAACATATTTGCACAGAACTGATTGAGGTGTGCGTCTTGCCATGTACACATAATATGTTATTTCCGATAAAACATCTGATACATGATGAGGTACCTGAAGAAAATATATATATAGGATTTTTCATAATTTCACATTAATATTTATAAGAAATTATATTAATGAAGTGAACATTTCAAATACTTTTCTTTTCATATATGTAATCTACAGTGTTTAATTTTTCCTTTCAAAAATTTTTTGGTCAAATCACATATTGTATTATACTTACAGCATCTAAAAAAATTTAAATACTGAGAAAATCTTTACTTTTTAAAATTTTAAAATGTCAATTTATACCACTCATTTAAAACTAATGTACATATTTCACATTCCTTTGTGTTAAAAAAAAAAAATGAATTTATCTCAATAAATTACCTGCGATGAACCTGGTGCAGTGTCATAAGTGAGATCAAGTTGCCTATCCCCTTTATTTAAGCGAAACTTTGATCGTGTTAAGTCTCTCCAATTTCCTCCATTACGTAAGGTAAAGTCAGTTACCCAAGGCATCACGTAATGACATGTAGGATCACCAAATCTTCGTCCAGCAAGTTGATTCAAAGCCATTAAATATTTGAAATTAGACATCTGTCCTTTAGCCCACAATTCACATAAATATTCTAAATTGTTGGCTGAAACATTTGTATTTAAACGTGGATCTGTACTTTCCAAGTTTTCACTCTGTAAATTTTTAACTTCAGTTTTAACATCGATTTTCATGTCTTCAGAACTATTATTTGCTTCTGAACAGATGACACAAAATTTACTTGCTGATATTTCATGAAAAGATGCAGCTTGTCTGTATGACATACTACTTTTGGAAAAACAATTTTTACAATTTTTTGTCTTTGACATTTTGCTTCTTTTGCTTTGGTCCCCTTTTTTGTTAAAGTAATTTATATCAAAAGAATCATCAAGTTTACTTTTAGCTGTGGAATGTATGTTGCGTGAGAGTTGAGGAATGACCTGAAAATATCCACAAAAATTTAATGAGATGCAATTTCATTTGCCCCAAACATCAACTTGCAGAAATAATAAAGTTTAATAATTAGAAATATTCAGGTGTTAAAATTATTTTAGAAAAGTTTTAATAATTAATAGCACCTTCAGAAGATTTTTATATTTAAAAACCTACCTTGATCCAAAAATTGTCAGTTACCAGCACATCACTCAAAGTGATATCTCCTAAAACTAAGCCTCTGTCATGGAGACATCTCATAGCTTGAAGCAATTGGTATATAATAAATAAGGGTTTCAAATGTGACGTACTAAGAATAGCTGGGCTGAATGTGACACAATCTTGCAGTGAGTGACTGATAAAAGGGTGTTGCACAAGGAGAATATAATGTTCAGTTTCAATAGCACATAGTGCAGGTAAAATGTTTGAATGAACTTCATAGGCTCTTGTGTTCCTGCTTGATGCTTGTATTTCTGCTTTGTTCACATTTAAAGATATTATAGGACATCCAAACATACGTAAAATAATTTCTCTTAAAACTGAATCATGATCAACTGGAGGCAGATGATGTTTACTTTCATATTCACTTGAAAGTCCTATATAACAGAAATATTAATATTTCAATACCTCTCATGCATAAAATACTCTTAAATAGATTACTATAGAAGAAACTGAATTTTGAAATTACCATTGGCATACATGCTTTGATGTTTCTTGAAAACATTTTTCCACAAATTTTTGTAATTTGTTTGAGATATATAAGCAAGAAGATGTGTATACGAGAGTGGATTTTCTGTTCTGATACTTTCTACTCTAGTTCTTGGTAGAGATAGAACTTCATCTTCTTCCTTTTTGAACACCTGAAGCACAAGAACAGTTTCTAACACAGAAGTTTCTTATTTAAATTTATCAAATTTGAATACTTTGTACATATTCCTTCATATCTAAAACATGGAATCATATCCTGAAGAAATTCTCCAGGTAGTATTCACACATCCAAAATCCAAAAATGAATTGAGAACAAGGAACATTCCTAAGAAAGTTTTGAAAACAAAATCAAAACATTTAAAAAGCCTGTAAATTTTCTTCATGCATAGATTTGAAATAATGCTCTTCATAAAGATCCACTTGATAAACAAAAAATTGTTAATTTTAAAGGCAGAAATTAATTACTATGAAACTCAACAAAATAGATTTCGTCAGATTGTCTGAATCCCTAGAAATGATATCTTCATGAGTATTACTATTGTAATTAAAAAGTAGTACCCTAATAAAAATTTTTTGCCACCAGGGTTCAAATTCTTCTGCTTGATGCAGGGAAACTGCCACTTCATCTTGATTTAATGTATCATGATAAATGAAATCTGAAAGTTGATGGGATCTCAAAAGGGACCTAAAAAAAAGTTATTATGTTAGAAAATTAATAAAAGTCACATTCTGGCACTCATAGTAAAGAGACACCCACTTCAACCATAATCGGTGCACGACGGTCAAAACACGATCTTGTCGTGAGGTGGTTTTGATATATTTCTTGGGGATTGCCAGCTCTTTTGATACAATAGAAGAGGCATCCATGTCAAAGTGTGATTTTGTTTGTGGTTTTTCAGAAAAAGAGCTGTTTTCTGCACTACCAGAACACTAAGCAACATATCGAAACTACATGAAATTCATGAACCATACTATTATCTTCGATTTTAACGCAACTTTGTGAGATAAATTGCAATTAAGATTGTTCGGATGTTTGTACACATCAACCTGTCATTCGGCAACCATAACACGCACTCTACCTCACCCCTCTCCTTTTGCACCACCCCTGTCTTACCCTTTCCTAACCCGTATCAGCTGTTGTGAAGACAACCAACTATAGCACTGTAATTGTACTTTTTGTATGATTTAATATTCAATAATTTCTCAAATGGTTTTCTTCGTCCGTTTATTCGTTTTATACAACTCGCGTTTGGCAAAAATTATGTACATTTAATCACGAAGAACTGAAATACTGGAAGGAAAATATTCGGAATAATTATCGTTGTGTTGGTGAACATGCAGTAATTTATCAAGACTAATTACATTTATAACCAACATCGTAGTGCATATACACGATCAGTAGATCAGAACACGATAGCGGTAGATAGCAAACACGGGGAATGTAGATAAAGTAATAGTTTTCGGACCAAGTACTTCATGTTAGTAAATTTTCCTAAATAGTAGCCATGGAGTGGGATGATGTTATATATTTAACAATGCTATTTATTAGCATTGGACTAGGTCATTATTTTCAGAAAATAACTAATAAAAATGTGAAGAAATGGTCTGCAACAATTATTGGAATTTTATTGGTTTTTGTTGTGTCTGGAAGGCACATTCTTCATCCACTGGTGTGCACACTGGTTAATGCTCTGATTGTTACATTTATAAGCAAAAAGTGAGTTTAAGGCAATACTTAAAAAAAATGAGAAACTTACCGTTCATGGTGCAATGAAATCAGAATTAATGTATGCAATGTTGTATTGATAATAATAATATAAATGTGTATTTTTGGTTTTAGGTCTTGCCATATAGTGAGCTTTGTTTTCCAATTTCTATACTTGTTATTTTTTCGGTCTACTGTTTATTTTGGTATACCGTATCCACCACCACATACTAACTTGGTGCAGATGATGTTAACGTTGAAGGTTAGTATTTTCAAGCTACAGTAGCAATTCATAATTTATACATTCATATATTATAAAAATAAAGTTGGGCAGTTTCAGTAGTTTATATATAAGTCCACCACAAAAATGTTGCTGTTATTCATGAACATATTTTTTTTAAATGTATTATTTCTGAATTTTTTTTTGGAAGTTTATATTATATTGATATTTTATTGTTGTATTGTGATGGTGTTTGTATTTTATTTTATCTATACTTCTATACACTACTTTATTCAAACTATTACATTCTATCTCTTATTACTATTTCTTTTCATGATTTCCATTTTCTACATTTTTAGCATTCCTAGTTTTTCCAATTTTTGCTGAAATGTATTACTTGTTTTCAAGTGAACTTATTTATTAGAAATTAATATTCTCTTTTAAACTTTCAAGCTTGTTGGATTAGCATTTGAAGTACACGACTCTGCTTTTTCACGGAAGGTGAAAAATGATGATGATAAGAGAAGTGAAGCAGAGATAGAGACAACGTATATTAATCCAGGATTTCTCGACACGTTCCACTATGCTTTTTCTTATGTTGGTGTTCTAACAGGTTTGTATTCTTGAACAATTTAAATTCTTGTAATAGGTATTGGTGAAAAGTACACAAATTTCCTACAACTTTGCTAATTTCACCTTCAGAAATTGCAACAATTTTTTAATTTGAGCTTAATATTGTAGCTTCATTTTGGTAAACTTCTTGATTTGTGGAGAGTAATTTCATGAATATGTTAATATAATTTTGGCATGCTCAGTAAAATAGCAATTGGTGGCTTCCTTATGAGCAAGCATTATTTACTTCTACAATCTCTAAAGTTAGAACCAACTGTGAAGTTTTTAATTGGCTCTTAACTGATGTTTCATAATTTGCTGTTGTACGGTGACTTAAAATCATAATATATAATTGAAAAACTAGCTAAGAATGTCACTAGGCCTTAAATTATATTCGAATATAATAAATTATTATTCGAATCATTCTTGTGAAGTTACAATGATTTTTCTTTGAAAGTTTTTAAGTTAAAATTGGAAGTATTTGTTTAAAAAATGTAACCATGCTTTGAAATATTATAACTTTAATGTTCAATTGTTTACAGTCAACTATTTTATGTTTAATAAATTCCTTCTTTTGGGTTATTAGTATGTGTAAGAGATGAAAGTCTCAAACCAAGAAGTCACTCTGAAGGTATCTTCGTTAATATCTGGGTATAGCTTTTTTTGTAACCAACGAGGCAGTGGAACTTCAATATTGTAATTAAATCATATTTCAGAATTCCTTTTCCAAGGTACAGCTGAACATTGCTTAAAAAAAAAAATGAATGCTCTGCCTTTGCACTAATGTCGCTTCATGCACTGCCAATGCTCTGACTACTTTCGAACCTTTCGATTTCATACAATTTGTTGCTTGAATTTTTATTTTATTGTGTATTTTTATTGGCTGCTTTTTTGAAGAAAAATTGAGTGTAATTTTTGTTTTAACTTTAAATTCTGTGAAAAGTTTTTTTCTTATTTCTTTTTTTGTTTAGTTTTTTTAATTCTTGAAAATATTTTGAATCACCGAAGGTCTTAATAATGCTTTTTGTTCAACTGTTTCAGAACTGTTACGATATATTTTTAATATGTTGTTATTTTGCAAATTTTCAATTTTTTCTTCTTTCAAATTTGTGAATCACATCTAAACTGATGTTTTCCAAAAATGCATTATTTTCTCTTTTTTAAAAATGTCTGGAGACATTTTAATTTTCCACATTATCACTGACTGCTTCATAATTCCATGCAACTGGTGGCATGCTTGCTTTTCTTTTAAAACCTCCTTGAAAGAATGTGCTTTGATGCTACTATGATTATCTGCTAATGATGTTTCGCAAATCACAAAGTAGGGGAAAACCTCAAACCATTGGTAACAGTTTGGTTATGAAGTTTGTGTTCAGATTCAAACTAGCTTGAAAAATGTGTAAGAGCTTAAGCAAAAATATCAAGATGTCAATAGAAGTAATTTGCTGCATTTCAACTTGATTATTTATTAAGTGCATCACCAACATAAAATAGTCATGATGTGTTTGTGAATTTCACTTAGTATTTCACGGCTTCTTTTTGTTGGTCACATATTTTGAATGCTGTACATTTCAGGTCCTTATCATAAATATCGTACTTATTTGGATTGGTTGGAATCTCCATTTGCTTTGTACGCTCCATGCAAAGATGCAACTATTCAAAGACTTAAGTATATACCACTTTATGCTGGGTTGTTTTTGCTTGCTACATACTTTTTTCCTATTTCGGTAGGTTGTTTATTGTATGACTGAGGAAAATCCTGTGAAAGATATTTTGTAAGTACGATGTGAATAATTAACTTGTTTAAAAAACTTTTCTAGTATGCTGATACACCAGAATTTTATGAAGAACGATCAGTTTTATATCGCATATGGTACATAAATCCAATGTTCTTTATTTTCCGTATGCGAATTTATACCGGTTTGGTACTATCTGAGTGTGTATGTACAATGGCTGGTCTTGGAGCATATCCTATTTTAACAGGGCCAAAATCAGGTCAAGGCCCTAGTAAAAACTATGAGATATTGAAGATCTCGTAAGTGTTTGTTAATATGTATTATAGTTATTTTTGATGTTGGAGAAAGTGTTGATTTTTGCAACTTCTTTATTTTACAGGTTTAGTGATTCCGTAATAGCAAAGAAAGAAACCTACAACTTTGAAACTATTCACAATATTGATCCATATGGTTCAGATTTTTGTGTAACATTCCGTGAAGCTATGAAGTGCTGGAATTCTTGCATTCAGTATTGGCTGGCAGTTAACATATATAAACGTTGTCCTATGAAACAGTTCAGGTATAATAAAAAAAAATTTCAATTATATTTTTGTGAACCTGTAGGTTTTATTACAAATGTAACTTCAGTGAGAAAAAAAACACATGGGTAATCTGTATGTGTTGTTATACTTATATGTGAAATTTTGGAAAGTGCTTCATGTACCTTCCACAACTTTGAAATGCACTAGTGAAGTATCTGAAGAACATGAAGTTTTATTTCAAGAACTTGATTTTTTTTTTTTAGGACATTTTTAACTATGTTTGTATCAGCTTACTGGCATGGCGTGTATGCTGGATATTACTTATGCCTTTGTTCTGCTCCAACGTATCTTCCAGTGGAAGATCTTTATGTCAAATTGTTCTACAAAGATTCTACAGGACTGGTAAGTAATACAGAATTTATATTATTAAAAAAAAGTATTGCAGTAGAATTTTGAGACTTAAAACAAACTAAATACAGTTGACTCTAGTTATAGTGAACTTCTAGGACTAACATTTGAGGTTCATTATATCAGAGGCTCCCTATGTGTAAATTAAATGGAATTTCTCCACAGTGATTGATTTTATTTATATAGAGATGCAGCAAAATACCTTAACAGCAAGAAATGAAAATTTCAGTATCTATTTTTGATATTAAACAATTAATTATTTTCAATTGTTAGCTTAAAATTTTTCATTAGTAACTAATCTAGAACCTTCTCCAGAGTTCGTGCTCCCTCCATACTTGATTCTGCATTGATTCTGATTGTCCACTGTTTCTGCGAGTATCATAATGCAGTGTTGACACCCTTCAATGCCTCTTCCACTGTTGAACACAATCTCTCTCCGCAAAGGCCCTTTTACTTGCCTAATAATATACAAGATCCTTTGGACAGCATGATGGCACCACGGTTAAGGAAACTGATCGCTATTCTGTGTGGCACGGGGGGTGTTGCTAGGCCTATGTAGAACACAACACGCTTTGTCCCACGGAATATAACACCAAGCTTGGAACTGAAGCTAGCAATGGGGTGTTGCCGCTTCCAATTGTAGCTCATGTAGGACATGGCCTTTGTTTCCGCAGTGAAACTGAGTGGCATAAAGTCATCAGTAAGGTCCCTATTCCAGGTCCACTACCTTCACCTCAGGGGTGACTTCTTTGATTGCAACCTTTGTCCGAGGATATTTTTTCCAAGCTGCCTGATGTTGGAATTTGCGACACTGGCAATACATTCTTTTCCAGGTGGGAATTAATTTCCTGGACGTTGAATTTTTTATGTTCACTATAGCAGAGGTTCAGTTTCAATATAACTGAAATGGGATCAGTAACTTAAGTTCACTATAACTGAGGGTTCACTATAACTGGTGTCGACTGTAATTTTGTGTAAATTTTAATAAAATTGTTGGTGAAGATGTTGGTACTTTCAGGGTTTGATATGTAAGGAAGTGCCTATAAATGAAGTAATAACAACTATTGAAAAATATTTTTTTATCTTTCTGAACTTATCTTCCTTTTTTTTTTCTTTTTCCAGTATGTAGTGCATTATATATTTTTTAATTTAATTCTTAAAAAAATTGATGTTCCTTTCAGGCAAAAGTCATTTGGGACTGGGTAATATGGTTTTTCAAGATGCAGGCATTCAGTTATATGGCAGTGGCATTTTTCCTACTGAATATTGAGAAAATAATTTTCTATTGGAGATCAATATATTTCTCACACCAAGTAATGTGGATAGTACTTTATGGCGTTGGTGTTGTTATTTTGAAGACTCGGAAAAGGAAACCAAAGCAGACATAGAAATTTAAAGATTTAACTGAGCTACTATTTCTTTTTTGTTCATGAAACATATCCTTTTGATTACCATATTTTTTACTGTACAAGGCAAATAATGTGTAAGTAATGAAGAAATTGATTTTACAAAAACTTACAATTTACAATAAACCTAAGACTAGAGGCAAATTTTTCCCATAGCAAATGAAATTTGCATACTTCCATTGTCACTTATCAGTGAACCTATTTGTTTCTCAAGTTTTCTTCCATTACAATCAACTTCGAGTAGAAGTAGGATATATTTTTTTGAGATGGCTACAATATTTGTCTTCTTGTTGCTTCCTTTTTAACATACTACTTCTTGATATTTGTTGATCATAAAATTTTTCCATATACTCTGCAAAAAGTGTTTCATACTCCTTTTTAAATGATGTAGAAAATATGACTCTCACTGAAAAATTGATTAATGTAGTGTGTGCAAAGGCAACTACATATTTTCTGTAAACATATTGGATGTAGGTGTATTTTATACAAATTATTCTTTGTCGTATGTGTTGACCTTAGATATTATAAATGATACAGGGAATAATAAATCTTGTTACTAGGAACATGCACCAACTGCACCTAGAGTTGGGAAAAAAATAACTTATTGTGTATTAAATAAGTTATTATAACCAAGAATTAACATAATACAATTATGAGAAATTGTTTGGCTGGTTGGAATACTAAGTAAATAAAAGTTGTTTTTTATGAATATTTTGCTCTTAATGTAGGCTACAAAACTTGCTTTTCAGATAGAGAGAACTCGAAAGTGTATCTCTGTCCATTTATCCAGCCTTACATGTATATTTTTTTGTGGTGATATATCTTTGTTAACTCTTTAGATGGGATTGATCATTTGTAAGAACTTCTATAAATTTATTTCCAAGTGTTGTAAACAATTTTATTACTTATATCAGAGTTGGTGATTTTTATCAGTGAGTTAAATAGAGAACAATATTCATGTTATTTAGAGGTGTCGTTTATGGAACTCTATCATGATTAGGTCAGTTGGTGTATACTCATTTCTACCTGTTTAGTGTTCATTCTGTAATATCTTGTATTTACATCTCAATTGTGTATCTACAACATTTTTATAATGTTGATATTTTTGTATGTGTATTACTACTACCCTAAGGTTTTGGAAACCCCTGCCTCATTCCTCTTCCCGTCACTGTTTCCCACATCAGGTCTGTAGTACGGGTAAAATAAAAGTTTGTTGCCTGAAAACTCAAATTACTTTGTTATTAGATAACCTAATATGTCTGTTAGCCGACAATCTTTCCAAAATTTTCAAAACAGTTTGGGTAATGCCATAAGATCTTGTGGTTCTATTTGCCCAAAAAACTTTTATTATACCAATTTCCATGTATGCTAAGTGGATTTTAGTTAAATATATACAAATTATTACATAAGAGTAGTTTGGGTGAATCAAGTAACAAAATAACCTTATTTTAAAACTAAGATTATTTTGTGATTTTACTCTCTACAGTATTGATTTAGTGGGTTTGCTAATATACAAGAATCACTGGTTAAAATTTAGCAATGCCGTTCTGTTCAATGGTTGTGCCCTTCATGGTGAATATTTGTGTATCAATAGAAGTTTCAGTGTAGACTTTAAAATAAGAGAAGCTAAGTTTCTCAGTCTGTGTTCATGATGGTATATTCCTAAATATTCCTAAAGAAATATTTCAATAGATTTTGTAGTGCTCTGTGAATGTGATTGAAAATAAGGCCATTCTAATGTTGTCCATACAGCCTCCAATGACCTGTAACTACATAATTTTATTAAAGAAATCTGATGCGGATTGCTTACCAAAGAAATTTTAAAAATGTGTGGTTAAAATTTAATACTCGTCATTAAATGTGTCATAATTACCACTGAGATTAGTGTTTTTTTTTTCAGATTATAAGTTATTTTTAAAATCTTAGTTCTAGGTGCCACAGAAGAAAGGAGAAATGAAGTGTGTGGAATAAGTGTTGTTTTGAGCAGTTCAAAATACTTGTAATGAATATTATGTCTTCCTTTATTCATTTTATGTAACATTTCAACTTGCTTGAATTCTCAGATGCAAGGAATTGTTTCATGGAGATTTGAAATGAATGTGTGGTTTTCTTTACCATCACAAAACATCACTCAGGTATTTGTTTTTCTTTTATCAATTTTCATCTTTTTCTCTCTCTCTGTATCCCTTTCCATTATATCAGTTTTGTTATTTCTTCGAGTTCTGATTCAAAACTGATGGATAATTATTTTAGAAGTTTAATTTCAGTAGTGAAGACATGCCTAGTGTGTCTCGCTTGTTCACAAGTTCAATATGCCATTCTGTTATTTACTTGCCTCCTTTTATTTATATTTGTAGAGAAAAATCATATATAATTTTGTAAAGAACTTCTTGCTGCAACATATCTTTGTTGAAAAAAAACAAACAAACTTTATTGGCTCAAGCAAATTATATGTACATTTATGTTCTCAAATTTGAATCACTGGGAATGAAAGTTTTGTCACCCTTATATTGATGAAAGAAAAGAAGTTGTGAACAAACTAGCTAATGCTTTGTGTTATTCCAAATTGTATAGGCCTATTTTACTTCTATATTATTCATTTAATACCACACATTTTTTTAGTTATCAAATTTATATTGGGTTAACAAAAATCTAGAAATCCTGAATATCTAGCAGTATAAACTATATTCTGTAGAATTTGGTCATGATCTCTCGGTGATAATCCATATGATGATGTAATTTCTCTTCCGATCAACAAAACACTGAAACCGTGAACAGAAAAAGTAGTGATAAATGCTTATTAGAAAGAACTGTTAGGTCACTGCCCACAAATTGAGCTTGAAGATATTGGAGTGTTCATGGGGAGGGGGGGGGGTCAAGGGTCTGTAACCCCCTGCCATGCAGGTTTGCATGCAGTTTTGCCATTTGCAGGTTAAAAGATTGAAAGCATGCCCGGAAACTGCCCTCTCTCTTTATTTTAGGCTGTCATTTCAGATCAGGGGTTTTTCTTTAATGGATAGTTCCCTTATATTTAAAACAAAAAAGGTTAGAGACATTTTCAATTGTTATTTAAAATTTAATATTATTAATTAAACATTATTCTTAAAAATAATCATTATATACCTATATTTTATATTAATGTTTGGAAATGAATAATTAAATAATTAAAATCTCAAATTTCATTATGCTGAAATTAATTGGTACATAAGCATAGCTCAATAGAAAACAATTTGTGATCGAATTGCTATAAAAATGTTTGGAGTTGACTATTTGTGGATACTGAAAATAATGGTGCAAAATATTTGTTATAATATTAATGTGTGCTCTCTTTTAATGTAATCATTTCTCACATGATTTGAATGAAAAAATATCATTTAAAGGCTTTGTAAACTATAATACCTGGAATGTGTGAAAGGTCATAATTTTCACATGAGTAGGTAGTTTGTATTTTAGAAGTCAATTATGAACTATTGTGGATAGATTATCTAAGTATTACTACCATGTACAAAATAGAAGAGAGAATGTGATTTTATATTGCGAGTTCTCTTCTTTTTTGTTGCTGAGACTTCTATAGTGAATTGTAATGCTTTGTTTTTTCCATATTAATATTATATGTACAGTTATGATGTGAAGAGAACAAAATCAATATTAATAAAATACCATACCAGCAGAAGTATTTTATATTATGTTATACATGTGTATCTATTGTTTTTCAGTTGTGAGATAGAGACATTAAAACAATTAATACTGCTGAGTTACTGCAACATATACTACCATCTGGTACTATATTTCTCACAGAATGGATTACTCTGCAAGATAGATTAAATGTAATTTATCTGCAGTATTTTATATTTTATAGACGATAAAAATTGGATTGGTGACTCGTTTGGTCAACTTTTCGTATTGCACCATACTTATGTTTATTTTCTTCTTCCAAACAAAGTGTTAGTTGCTGATGAAGTAAAATGTAGGTGACATAATGGCTGAATTACATTTATACGGGGTAAATGGTGGTATTTGTTGTAAAAATGTTTATGTTAACGTTAAAATTTAATTCTTACTTTAATCAGAGTCTAATGAAAATGTATTTTGGAAGGACACTAATTTCTTTTCTTGAATACTGATCTTTATGGTTGTCATTTAATTTGTGTTTTACTTCTCCTTGCTTTTGTTATGATTATTTTAGATATGTACCAGTTATATTTTTGCAAAGATTGAGAGAGATTTTGTCACTTACACATAAATGTATTTGCTCATAACATGTGTATTATTGTTGGATTTTTGTAGAAATATTTAGAAAATACATGACCAATTTATCTGAATCACTTCAATTGTGTGTTATTGTCTCCTTCCAGTCTTTTTAAACACCCCTTTTCTGTATAAACAAAATAAAATGTGAATTTTTTAAAAAAGTATTTAATTAAAAAAGAATTATTGGAATTTTGATTGACTTGATTTTTACTTTCTCGTTACCACTTTCAAAGTAGAAAGAAAGTTATGTAACTCTGCAGGAAAAAAACTGAAAAGTTTTCAGTAGAAAATCTCTTATTGCCGGGCACTAGTAACAAGTAAGTGTAATTATCTAGTTGCTAAATTTAGAAAGTAATGCTCCAACACCACATACTTTCTCGCAATGTTACAAAGTTAACGTTATGTACAATGGGACGCCCATATATGCTTCATTAATTTCAAACAAATTATATGAAAACTACCAATGTTTACAAAACATTGTACATGACCTTTTTAAAGAGCTTAATTTGTTCAACACTTTGTATGAGTTATCTTCAATTTGTATGAATGTACTATCTTCAATTTTGTAGTTTTGATTTTTTTTTTTTTTTTTTGCAATTTTCGATAAAACAAGTAATACCCGAAAATGTGACTGGCACCATATTTTTTACTGTTCCTTTTACATGTGTGACGAAAATTAAAGAAATTTAGAGCGGTTTTTTAGAAAAAAAATTGTAAATTTCAAGCGGAATTTATGCAACAGCTACTTGTTTTTTCAAAAAAATTTACATGACTTTTTTTAAAGAACTAATTTAGTACAACAGGCTTTGTCTGGGACAAAAATCTCTTATATTCAATTTTGTAATTTTAACAATTTTCTTTTTTTTTTTCTTGAAAAATCGTGGATTTTAACGAAGAAGACAATTCTCTTAACAGACTATTCCACTATTCAACAACAAAATTTAATCAAAATTTTTGGAGACATTTTTTAAAATTTTGAAAATGTCTGGGGGATTAACTGCAAAATAACCCTCAAAATTGAAATATCTGTTTCAAATTGGGGGACCGTGACATCAGCCAGAGCGATCGGGGAATATCAATTTTGGAGAAAATTGGCTGAACGATTTTTGGACAAGCGTTGTACACAGGTGGACGGACAGACGTTTTGCCGTGAATCAATTTTTCAGTATGAAGGATGCACAAAATATTGATTCTGGCTACACCACGTGTTAGAGGAATTTTTTCTATATTAAGCAGTTTCCACTTTTTCGTTGCCAGGGTCCGGCAATAAGAGTTTTTGTGTCGAAAATTCGCCATTTTCTGGTGCACGATTACAATACTTTCTCTTCTTACGTTAGGAAGTGCGAGAAACTAAAAGCAGCACTTACTGGTGCTAAAAACAGCACTTGCTTCACACAAAATTGCGCGAAAAACAATCAAATTTTAGAAAAACTCTACATGGCCGTATTTAAAAATCTTTCTTTAAGAATAAGTTTTCATTAAGGGAAAATCTCTATATTCATAATAGTAGTTGTAGGAAAACGGCGAAAAAAATTTGAATTTTTCCAATTTTCGAAAATTTAGTTTTCAACGAAAATGAGACCTGCACCATTCTCTTGAAAGTTAAACGTTCTTACATCAAAATTTTATCAGAAACAATGGAGCCATTTATGAAAATGTCCCAGGGGCTAAATGTAAAGTAACCCCCAAAATAAAAATATCTATTTCAAATTCAAGGGGCCGCAACATCAGTCAGAACGACTGGGGAATATTAATTTTTGAGAAAATCGGCTGAACCGTTTAGCCCCTAACACAGACAGACGGACACACACGTTTTGCCATCATTAGATTTTTTGATATCAAGGACCCACAAAACATGGATTCTGGCTACACCACGTGGAGGATTTTCCCCCCTAAATTTAGCAACTGGATTTATTCACTTTTTCGTTACCACCGAAGCACGAAGTGCACTGAACACAAAGATAATAAAACAATTGAAAGGCTTTAAGGCCCCTTCCCACGGCGCGACGGCTGTTTGCTTCCGAGCAGTGCGGCGCGTAGCAGAGCATTGGTTTGAATGGAGACCTTCCCACGTGCTGCGGGTGGCGGCTGCTGCGGCAGCCGCTGCCGAACTCTCGCCACGCGAAGCGGAGGAGGGGCACGCGCCACCGCTAGCAGAACACAGCTTTAAATGGGAGCCTTCCCACTGTGCCGCCGATCGCTGCGTTTTACCTACTGGGGTCCATAGTTTGTTTTTAAATTTTTGATTCGAATAGAACAAACTTCGCTTATAAAAATAGTCCAGGTCTCATTTTCATTAAAAATTTCAAAAATTGCTATGGCTAATTCTTTTTCATCCTGTCCTAAACCCGAAATTGATTTTTTTAAAATTTTGGGCGGACTTCAAAAGTCAGGAGAACTTCGGTAATGCTGGAATTCAGTAGGATGTTGGAAGTTTTCTTGGGGAATGGTAGACCATTCTTCACAGAGTGCTTCACTGAGGAGAGGTATCGATGTGAGGTTTGCCACGAAGCCGGCGTTCCAAAACTTCCCACAGGTGTTCGACAGGATTCAAGTCTCAAGGACTCTGCAGGCCAGTCCATTCCAGGGATGGTATTGTCGTGTAACAACTACAAGGCGTGTCCGCTACAAGCCTTGCAGTATGGACACGTGATCGATTGTGTTGAAAGATGTAATCGCCATCCCCGAATTGCTCTTTAACAGTGGGAAATTAGAAGGTGTTTAAAACATCAAAGTAGGCCTGTGCCGTGATAGTGCCACACAAAACAAAAGGGGTGCAAGCCCCCTCCATGAAAAACACGACAACACCATTTTAGACGTGTCCGGATACATTTGATCACATAGTGTAGGTTCGATTTTCATTAAAACCTCTAAATTTTCGGAAATTGTAAGAGTTCATTTTTTTCATAATTGCGTTTTGAAAAAATAAATGTTTACTCTAATGCATTCTTTCCTTCAGTAGCCCGCCAAATCATTTCACGTACGGTACTTTATTATTCACAATATTAGTAGTTTTCACGAAAAATTTGTAACAGATCGTGACAATTTTTCAGAACAACCTAAACAAGGTTTTCGCGTTTCGTTATCGTTAATATTTACTTGTATTGTATTCACATACGTGCGCAGCTTGAAATGACAGGGGGGCCTACTACATATCTGGGCCTTCTTGTCGTCTGATTTTATAATTACATACAATATATTTTACTCGGAAATACAATAAATACGGAAAAGCAATACAATTAATCAATGATACAATTAATATATTTCATGATACAATTAATAAATTCTATTGATTTTTTATTGAACCATTTACAAATTTTCCAGACGGTTTGGAGAGCCTCTTCTTCAAGAGTCCTGCACCAATTCCCCAGATTGTGAGCCTAAAAGGCATGTATTAGGGCTTGAATTTTATTAGAGCAACATGACCGAATTTTGAAAAGTTCAGGGGTGTCATGGTCTCTTGCCCCTGTATAGAGCGATTTTTATAAGAATGGGATGTGTTGACAGCTAGTGCTGGCAATACAAATGAAGTTCTGTGGTGGTTATGTCCTTAAGGTTATTAGACTTTCCTTGCTCCATTCGTTCGTTTTCAGTTGGCTAACTTGTAAATGGCTTCAATGCTTCCTTTTGTGATGTCGTCCGAGGAAAATATTGTGCGCCAAGAGAAATAATTGAAATTAGGAAGTGTAGAGCTATGTGCTCGTCTGTAAAATAGTCTTCTTTTTATAAACAATACACTGAATTTAGCTTCTTTTACGTGATATGTATATTATGTTTGTTTTAAATCGAGCCTTGAATGTGAGATGCGTACTGTGACGGTTCACGTGTTTCCGGCTGCAGCGTTGTAAGGTGACGAGCTTGTTCGTGAGCTTTCAATGGTTCTGTTTTGCTTTTTATACTTTTATATATAAATAATATAATAATATAATTATTATATTATATATATATATATATATATATATATATGTAAAGTAACAATAGCGTTCACTGTTGAAATGTTTTAATTGGTGAAAGTGAATATAAAGAATGTGATTATTCATCCAAGAAATAAAAGATGAAAGTATACATACTAGATAGGTTAAAGAATGCATTGACATACAGAACATGAGTGACATTCAAATCAATTCAATAAAATAAGTCACATATGAGTTATGAGAGCGTAGAACTCAGTTTTGGTAGTTGGGGTGCAATAATTATAAAGCAACCACTCCCTTCACTACCCAAATACATGAGCCATTCGCTGTGAAACGCCCAGAAAAGATATTTGAGCGTTCACCGAAAAATAATTTTTCTTTCTATTCACATTCGTGGCAGTTTTCTTTTACTGAATATGAGAGCATGTTAAGACATTTTCCACATAAGTAATTAAATTCCAATATCTTCCGGACTAGCGTACGTGCTTATACCTCAGCGAAACTGGCTACTGTATAGTGATGTCTTCCCGGGACGCGACAGCTGCCGCGGCGGAGGGATTCTTCTCTAATTATACGTGATGTTTTCTTGTTCAGCGAACTGTCACTTTGGCTCATTCTTATAAAAATCGTTTTGTACCAACTACTATGATTATAAAAAATATTTTTCTTATTATGAATGTCTGCATTACTATTAATTAAAAACAGAACCATTTTGAATTAAAGACATTCACTTTTCTTGTATATATCTGCGATAATTTTTTAAATTAGTCATTACAAGTGGACAACGTTTATGCTAACTTGTTTTAACCATCTTAAGGCCTCTGGTTTAAAGAGAAAAATCAGCTCCAATTTACAATTCTGGATGATTCAGAAATCCATTTAAAGTAAATTCCACTACAGAACAAAAGACATTAAGGTTAAGAAACCTTTGTATCACATGTATTACATTTTAGTGTAAGTAGACAGTACATAAAAGGTAAGCTTCTGCCTACTTATACTAAAATATAATAGAAAATACCGAAATAGTATACCGAACACTTTTTAACTAAAATTAGTTTAACATTTTATTTTCTCGTATAGGTAAACTAAGTAAAATACACAAGCTAGGGAAAAGTTGTGGAATGCTGCAGAAAACAGACTTCGAGATTTCAACGGTAATACACG